CTTTCCCTGAAGAAGATAAATCTGTCAGGCTGTTCAGCTGCTCTTCTCTTTATTTTCCACTTTCAGCACTTTAAAGAAAATAATTGCAGAGGGTAGAAATATGTAGCTCTTAACCCTCCCCCGCACCCATCATCTGTGCCTGCAAGCCAGTCATCAAGCTTGTGCTCGACAGTATATGCATGCTAAAAATGAGAGGGTGTAGCATGCAGCCCTAATCCTCCGCGGCTGACATTTCAGCGCCCTTCTGAGTCCTCCCCCCCTTGCACACACTCTTTTCACATCAAATGGATTTAGTGCAGCTGAGTGAACTGTCCTTAGATCTTCCTAGGAGAGGCTGAGCATAAGCTAAGAGGCATGTAGTTTAGCAGCCTATAAGTCATGTATCCCTCTGTTCACTATTCACAATTCTGTTAAAACTTGCACAGCACTAAGGATATGCTCTGACTGGATGTCACCTCAGGGAATAAAGTCATTTATCTAGATTACTTTTTCCTCTTCTTCCTTGGCTTTTAATTCCATACCTACAGGCAAGTCAGTAAGTCATTGCTCACATGTATTAAATGTATTTAAGGGGTGCAGGCCTTCAGGGACTGCCTGGCTCTGTTGCAGTCCATTTCACTTAGCCTTGACAATGGATTCCTTCTTCTGACACAGGACGTTTTCTTTTGCTGCTTTGACCTTAAGTGTTGGTTCTTTTCAAAACTCAAGGTGAAGGTTACGTAAATTATGGGCCGTTCTGAATCTGGAGCGTGGGTGGAAATGCTTACCCCGGCCTTATTCACAGCATTGCCCCCGTGGCTGCACACCTATGTTGCTGTAGATAGCGAGTCTTCACGCTACCCTAGACTGTGCAGACAGGTAAACTGGTCTTGTGCATTTTTTTTTTAACCAGACCACTGTTTTGTAGGTGAGTCCATGACCAATCAGGCTGGGAGAAGACAGGCAGAACTCTGACTCTGTGCCATTTCTGACAAATTGAACAAGTGTAAAATTGAAGGGCTGCTAATGCCGATATAGATGATTGATAATCTGCCTTTGCTACTATACGTGGATGGTTGGTAGCAAGGCCACTTATGTTATTACACTCAATTCAGGTAATTGTGTAATAGCATAGGTAAAAGCATATGGAAGCTAAATATGAAGAAGATCTGTTCCAAAAGGTCTGAGGTGTTTACATGACTGCATCTGCTGAACTGCTATAAATACAGAAAAGCAGTACAGGCTCTTGCTAAATAGGAGAACACTTGTATCTGAATGCACTGAAAGACCACAATGATATCTAATTTGGCCAGCTTTTACAGAAAAGCAGAATTTCACCAAATGGGAAGTCCAAGACTAGTTCCTTTTTTCACTGAGCTGGACCACAGCTTTTTAGAAAGAGATTTGAATCTGGAATCCCCTAAAAATTCCAAGTGATGGATGAAATTTTTCAAAATTCAGCTGATTAGATCCCATGGTGAATGAATTCTTTGCAAAAAATATGCACCTAGTTTTTTTCTCTGCAGTCACTGTATCTGTGTTTTTTGTTTTATTAGACTAGAAACCCAATATATGCTATATGTGGGTATTCTTAAGCTGTTCAAATGACTTTCAGTTTGTTTCAGACTGAAGTCTTGCTCAATATCAAAATCGTTTCTTGGAGTACCGTGAACCACTGCATTGCTCAGTATCTTGGGTTGCTTTGTTACCTTGTTTACGAGCCTTGAAAACCCACACTTTTTGGCAGCTTAATTTCCCTCAAACTATGTTTATTGCTATTCCTGGCCTTCTTTCATGTCAAACTACTCGTATTTAGTGTCACATACTTTGGTCATCTTGTATACACTGAGTGTCCTGGAATGATGTTATGTTCTTGTTCAAAAGAAGTCTTTGATGAATGGATACTCATGATTTGCCATGTGAATCCAGAAAAGTTTAGTTTTGAAGTATCCTTGGCTGCAGTACATGGACCACCTCACAGTGCTATCAGGTGCCACACTAGCTTCACCCTGCCCTGATGCTGCAACTCTACCCTGGGGTGCTGCTGGATACATGAGCCTTCTTTTTCCGTAGCTAGGAGGCTGGTTCCTTCTGCTTACTTCGCCTGCCTGTCTTGTTGCTCTTGGACCTTGCTGGCAACACTCCAAAAACCAAGGTCTCTCTCCTTCTTGGAGTAGGAACCTGAATGAGCCAGGCAGCTTTCCAGAAAGTCCCTTTTTGCACCTCCAGTATTTCCTGATTTGGTAACTTCTGTTTAGCATAAATAAAACTTAAGTTAATCTAAGCTGTTTGTCTGTAATGTGTTTTAACTTACATAGGAACTTATTTTGAAAGGTCATCGTATAATATTGCCTATATTATTTTAAACTAAACACTGTATCTGGACATACTAAGAGTTTGGATTGTATGACAGGTTTATATGAGTACTGTACTACCCAAGGGCATGCACGTCTTGGTGGAGTATCTCCTCTTCTCTGGACTGAGGATTAATGAAGTCTCTTCAACTGACTTTTTTCCTAAGGGCTCCCAGCATGTCCTGGGGATACTGCATTACCTAGAAAGGAGCAGCCATTTTCTTGCCACCTGTCTGAGCTGCGTCACAGAGTCAGTCTCTGCGCTGTTCTTCTAAAAAATCTTTCATCCAGTTTGACAGCAGCATTTCTCTTTTCACAGGGCACTGGAGGGTCTGTTCAGGAGTCCTGAACCTGCTTCCTCTTTGCACTCTATTGACACCATCTTCTGCTCCTTCCATGGCTCCTTCTGGTTTTGTGTCTGTGTTTTTTAATGAGCTGTTTGATCAAGTTTGCCTCTTTGTTGCCTTTCAGCTTCCTGCTTTAGTCTTTTGGACAAGATACTGCATCTGCAGATAAATGCTGTTCTTCCCAGAGTCTGTAGAAACTGTGTCAGTACAGATTATGGACAAAGTGTCTTACTATGGCCACTTTCTTATGTCTGAGTGAAAAGGGGTGGGGAGGCAGCATCTTTGATTTGGGAAACAGAACACTGGCATTGGCAAGTTTGAATTTCAGTACAAATTTTCTAGCAATGAAAATAAGAGATTTATTTGTATATATCCATCTCAGGTCATGTTGGTTTTTTTAACAGAACTATCTGATTGGTCCTGTGTTATTTCCTGATTGTGATGACTTTTCCATGGTTTCCTAAGGTTTCACCGTGGTCCTGGCAACAGGACCATCTTCTTTGCAGGTTGATAATACTCTTGATTGCTGTGTCAGTCAGTGAGATAAGTAATCTTAGAATAAGCCAGGCCCTTGGACTGTTCTGTGTGACATTCTTTTTCTATTAGCTTTGGGCTTTCCGTCGATGGCCAGAAGTCATGCCTTGCTCCATCTTGGTGTTCATGGTTCCTTGGGTCAATCTGAGATGTGAAAGATTCTCTCTTTACTGAGTAAATTGCCTGGTTTTGTGGCCTCTGTAAAAAGTGTCTTGACTCTTTACCCACTGTTTCATGCAATAGACTGTTGGTATCGGTGTGCCTGGCAGCGTAAACATTTGCTGTGCTTGTATAGATTTTGCCTTTGGCCCTCAGCAGGGATTCTGTATGGAGTGCAAGTATTTAAGTAGAGTTGCTGTTCCTCTAATCATCAAGCTGCCATTCACTGGTTTGCCTGATTTGCAGAATATCTAAGATCTTAGAATCACAGAATCATTCTTACTGGAAAGGACCTCAGGATGTCATCTAATCCAATTCAGACCTTCAGAAAGCCTATGTGTAGATGATTACAGACATCTCACCACCCTCTTCGACATCAACATTTGATGGGAACCAGGCCTTTCCAGCTCTGACCGTAATGGATGAAGTTTGGGGTTTGGGCTGTTGCCAGCAAGGTCCACTTCTCGGCACTTCATTTGCCCAACTCTTCTAGCTTTCTCATGGAGAATCTGTCTGTGAGTTTGGACCGTAGATGAGAAGTCAAATCTGAGGACTTGGTGGGCTGCCACTTGTGTAACTCCTCTGAAGAAGTCCTTTCAGAGGTAGACGTCTTTACTGCCAGTATCTGAAAAAATGCCATGTGTCTTATCTGAGAAGGCCAAGGTTCCCTCTCAAATGCACTTTTCTACTCATGGTCAAAGATCAAATCTATTTTGTCCTTTTCCTCAAATCCCTTTCTTTTATGGGCTGTCAGAAGCTTGTTGAGAGAGGGTGCACTAGTAATTCTTTTTGCTTAAGCTTGGCCTTGGCAGCTCTGGTTCCCAGGCTTGCTTTGGCTGTCCATGTAACTTAGATTTCAGCCACTTTTGAACCTTCTGTCCAGGACTTGCGGTGAGTGCTTTTTCTAGCTCACCGTGCAGGTGGTATCTGGTTCTCTAGGGTGAACTGTTTGTGACCTTCTTCTCTTTGGGTGAATGTCACGGAGAGCAGGAAGGTATTAAACAAATACACTCTGCTAATTGCACCCATAGCATTTTTTTCATCTTTGTCTAGTCCAACCCCTTGCTCTGACCAAGCACGATCAACTAGAACAGGTTGCTCAGGGCCATGTCCGGTTGGGTCTTGAATACCTCCAAGGATGGAGACTTCATAACCTCCATGGGCAGTCCCTAATAGTGTGTGATCACCTTTGCAGTGAAAAGCTCTCTCTTCTGTTTACATGGAACTACACTTCAATTAGTGCCTGTGACCTTCTGTCCTGTCAATGGGCACCACTCAGAAATCTCTCAGAAGAGAGAGTGTCTCTCTCTTCTTCTTTACTCCCTTCCAGCAGGTATTTATACACATTGGTAAGAGTCACCCTTCCCTCCCGAGTCTTCTCCACTCCAGACTAAACAATCTTACCTCTCACAGCCTCTCTTTGTATACAGACCCTCAAGTCCTTTAATCATCCTTGTGACCCTTTGCTGGACTCTCTCTGGTATGTTGCTGTCTCTCTTGTACTGGGGAGCCCTGAACTGGACACTGTCCTCCAGGTGTGGTGTCACTGAGAAGAGGGGAAGAATCATCTCCCTCGATCTGGTAGCAACATTCCTCCTAACGAAGCCCAGGATGCTGTTGGGCTTTGTTGCAAGGGCATATTGCTGGTTCATGTTCAACTTGTCCTACAGGACCCTCAGGTCTTTTTCTGCAAAGTCACTTTCCAGCCAGTTGTCCCTAAGCCTCTACTGGTGCATGGGGTTATTCCTGCCTAGGTGGAAGACTTTGCATTTCCCTTTGAACTGCATGAGATTTGTGTTGGTTTGTATCTCCATCCAATTGAGGTCTCTGAATGACAGCACCACCATCAAGTGCATGAAACACCTCCCAATTCTATGTCCTCTGCAAACGTGCTGAGGGTGCGCTCTGTCCCTAAATCCTGTTTGTTAATAAAGAGGTTAAACAATACTGGCTCCCATATGGATGCCTGGCATATACCGCTAGTGACTGGCCTCCAACTGGACTTTATGCCACTGATCTCAACCCTTCGACCCCAGCAGTTTAACCAGTTTTCAGTCCATTGCACTGTCCCGGTTATTTAGTCTGTACTAATCAGTAAATAACGCTTTGTTTGTGTGGCGACCTGAGGTTGTGGTCACGCCTTTATCAAGTACTAGCCATTCTGGAAACATCCAGAAATATAGGAAGAGAGGTGGTTGAGTTGTCACAGAACTGTAGGATAAATGAGGTCAGAAGGGACCTCAAGATGTCATCTAGTCGAACCTCCTGCTTAAGCAGGATCAGCCACATGGTCAGACCAGAGTCCTTTAGATGGGGAAGATCTGAGACCCTTTGCCAGGTGAGAGTCACAGGCTTAGCCTTACAGTGTGGATTACATGTGTGGATTCCCCCAGAGAACGGGGACTTCCAAGTAATCAGTGTTCAGGCTGTGTGGCCCATGTGCACGAACTCCTATCCCAATTGTCTTCAGCCTTTCTGATGGAATCAGAGAATGATGGAATCATTTAGGTTGGAAAAGACCTTTAGGATCATCGAGTCCAACCATAAACCTAACACTGCCAAGTCCACTACTAAACCATGTCCCTAAGTGCCACATCTACACGTAGAAACGGGAGAACTGAAATAGTGACAGATGTGCTTTCCCCTTGTAGCCAAGTGTCAACTGGGAGAGATTGTGGAGAAGATTTAGGCTTTAGAGGGATACTGCAGACACCATCTTTCTGGTCTCCGGTTATGTGGCACAACAGTCCCTCTCTTAGTACCTGTGTATTATGCATTTCAAACACTGCTTTAGGTGGTGGGGTAGCCTTTCTTTTCTTCTGGGATCCTGAACATTACCGGTATTCCTTTGCATGTTAAAAACCTAACTTAATAGCTCAGTGATCCTCAGTGAGTTCCTTTACATCATCTTGTTTCAGTGAATTTATTTTTCTGATCTCAAAATAGTTCAGTAGTTGGTATTGAGGTATTGGCCTTGCTGACATATTTCAAAGTGATAGGAAGTTATAAAGTTTTAGGCTTTTTCTTAGCACATAGCAGAAATTCTCGTTGGCTGTTTCTTCCCTGCCTGCATCACTGGTAATACTGCTGTTGGGTTTTTTTGTGTTGTATCTTCTTCCAAGCTTTTTAAAGACATTTTTAAAGACATTTATGTTGCCCTCAAATGCAGTGGTCATGATTTTAAATAGATTGCTTCTTCACATCTGAAATTGGTGGAAATTTTCCTTTAGGAATATAAAACGTGGTAGAGGAGTTCAAGAGCCCTTGTTCTGCCTCTTTGGTGGGAGGCCAGGGCATATGCTGAAACTTGGCTTTCCCCCTCCAAGGATAAGTCCCAGTTTTATGTTTTAGTAGAGCACTTGCCTGTTTATTACCAAGTGGGTGAGAGAGCTGGGAATCTTATAACCAGTCAACTTCATAGTACCATTTACTGAATGTTTTCAGAATGAACCCACTGTATTTGCGGCAGTGTGTTAAAGATACAAGATGTTGATGAAGATTACAGAATGAACAGAAGTTGGAGTTTCTAGGCCAAATAAACTGTTGCAATACAACACGAAGATACTCTGAGAACCAACGGTCTCCAATTTCCAAATGTTTATAGTCCTAACTCATTGTATCTTGGTGTGGGCGTGGCAATTTGCCTAGTCTTTTACTTTGGATTGCAACAAGCCCATGCATCAGCACAAAGGACTGATGCAGTTACACAGAAGTTGTGTCTCCTGATGGCAGCCTGAGTCTCTGTCTCCTTAGTAGCCTTTCCTCCCACTTCCCTATTGTCTCTATTGGGGAAGAAGCAGGACTGATCCTTAGGGGATGTTCCTGGTTGATGGAGCCACGACACAAGTTGGTACTGCAAGTTTTGGAAGCCCTTTGCTGTGATTCAGCTTTCCCTTACGTGCTAACCCACCACACGCAGCTCCTTTCCTCTGGTGCTTTGCTGCTGGAGCTGTATGGGGGAAGGAAGACAGGAAAATTGAGGACATTTTCAGTCCCTTCTGCTCCTGACTGTTTCATTTGCTGCCCCAGCTCTGGAAAGGGAGAGATAAAAGCAGACACAGAGTGGGCCTGGTTTGTGCAGAACCAGGCTAGAATGGGCAGTGTGGGATGAAGCTAGTGTGCAGATAGCCATCAAAACAGAAGTACCTGATAGAAATGCTTGTGTATGATCCCAGTCTGGCTCATCTCCTAGCTATGTGAGCATGCTAAGCTTGTGCTAATCAGTTTTTTCTCTTGGTGCAGTGCTGTATCTGCACTACCTAGCTGCAGAACTTCTGGACAAGCAGGCTGATCTCTGGCCAGGCCAATGCACGGGCAAAGCAAACACACACACGTATCTCCGGCTACCTTTGTGGCCTCATTTTCCTGTTGTGCTACTTGGAAGATTGCATCACATTAATAGAGATCTGTTTTGTTTGGTGTTTAGATGGATCCCGAGTATCGGGTGAAAAAATTCTTGGCTCTTCTGAGAGATGAAGGAACGTAAGTACTTTTATTTTAAAAAACTGTTTAAAATTCTGTTCTCCACTCAGAAACAAGCATCTCTTTGAGGGGAAACTGCAGTGTAGTGTATCTGATCTCATTGTTGGCCCCTCCCGTATTTACAGAACTGTATATCAGATCAGTTCTCCTTAGAGCTATATGCCAGTTGTTTTGGGAGGGGGGAGGTCCTGAAGACTTTTTGAGAACCTGCATGCCTGAATTTTCTGCTTTTCTTAATTTACCTGTGAATTTAAAATTTAAATGAGATATTGGACCACAATTTAGCTTTCTTTAACTAAAGTAAGTCAGAAGAGATTCTCCTAGAGTTAAAATCCAGCTGTTTATCTAAAATCTGGAACTTTGATTTCTTGCATTTCTCCTGTCTGAGAGAAGGATGTCCTACTTTTTCCCCTGTAGGTATCACAGGGAATAGTTGAGCCCAGTCTTGACAGTGGCATCTCCTAGAAAATGACTTTCTAATACATGTAGGGCAGTACCTGTGCTGGGGAAACTCACAACAGTATCTACCCTGGCTACATGTGAGTGGGTTCCAGTGTGTGCTTGATGCTTTTATACATGTGCATGCTTTCTTGATGGATTTGGCTTCTTTTGCAAGAGTTCCTTCCCTAGACTGAAGGTGGACCAAGTGCAAGATCAACAGCTGGAAAAGTGACCAACCTGGAGAATATACACTGGGATCTTTACTCTTCTGTGTTCAACGCGCTGGACAAAGTGAAATACTCCCCTGTTTCCAAGAACCCAATGTGGAATCTGCATGTTTAGTGCAATACAGTATCTTTATTCTTCGTCTTTAATATACTGATGTCATGTGGAAATGTCTTCTAGAACATTGTGCTTCTGTCTCTGTGCAGGCGAGGCTGCGTTCTCATTTGATTTTAGCATGGGGGAAATGTCCTGTAAGTTTTGAAGCTAACGCGCACTTGTGTCCAGCATCCAGTTGCTATGATAGGAAAGAAATCATGATTTCTAATAAAACCTGACAGTCTGTGGTGAAGGCATATTAAAGTACTACTCTGTGTTATCCTGATCTGATGAATGCTTTCTTGTTATGTCATCCTATGCCTCACTGAACACTGAGCCAGGCTGATAACCTAAAGATAGTGCCCACAATAATTCAGCTCCAGAATTACCTAGATGCTAATACCTGCTTTCTTTTATACCCGGGTATTTTGTGGCCTGATGAGAGAGACTGGCTAGCGGCTTTAGGGACTGGAAGAAAGCAGGGAAGTATGTTGATCAGAGTAGAGGAAACTTCCAAATCCAGTATTTAAGGCATCAAAGCTTGCTGTTAATTCAACAACAGTTTTAGGGATGCTGATTCCAGCCTGAAAACTCTTCATGAGTGCAATGTAGATGGTATTAGCCAGCTTCATTATGTCCCATTTTTCTGCCATGTTACCAAAGGTTGAAATTCCTCCTTAGAAATAGAGAGGAAGCCAAGCTCTGCAGATGCACGAGATGCACGATATTGCCATGTTTTTGCACTGAAATAAAGGAATGTATCAAACTTTGCTGTATGGTCCTTCCCCAATAGTCATCTCGCGTCAATGAGATGCTGTTGACGATGACTGCAAGAGGCTACTCCCCTCTGGTTCTTTGGCTCCACACGTTTAATAAGGTTCATGGTACATACCTCAATTTGGTGGGGCATGAAATCAAAGCCATTTATGAGAACTTAGTCACTGTATCTTCCTAAACTTGACCAGACATGCTGCTAAGGGCTAGCAGCTTGTACCCAAAGTGGCGTTCCCAGGCAAGGAGGGTGCTTCACATTCTTTCAGGCCCAAAGGTGAAGGTACTGTAGTCCTTAGTGCATACTTACAGCAGTCGGAGTATTTTAGTCACTCCGCTCTGGTTTCTTTTCCTTTGGCAGTGCTGTTGTATTGTGAGGACATTGCGAGTCCCAGTGGTTATTATTCCCTCTCATTTTGTGTACGATCTTGTGAATTTATTTGTTCCTTTCTTTCCTCTGCTAGTCCTAGTGACAGCAGCATACATTAACTTATATTTCAGAGTAAATGATGTAAACCTTATTGTGTCTTTGTCCAGAACTATATTGATGAATAAATATCTGGTTTAATTGCACATTCAATGGATTCAATAAAAAGCACAATGACTTGTGATGATCTGGGAGATATCTGTTTCTTTGGTGCTAGTCAGACAGAGGTGTATATATAGAGTGCTGATGTATGGCATGAAGATAACAAAGTTATTTCCAGGCTGCTGATAGCCGGGGGGATGCTCAGTTTGTACCTAAGCATGGATGGATTGAATACATCCCCAGCCTGGATAGCTTGACCACAGGTAGTCTTAAAGGGGTTGGCTGAGAATACCTCTGGTCCAGCCCTTTTTGGAGTTTTCTGGACCTTGCAGTGCTGATGAAGCCCCAAAGATGTATGTGTGTGTACGGGTTAGGTATATCACACTTGAAGAAGGACATGTTGGAAAACCAGAACAAAATGTTGGGTATGACATCCCATCCCTTCCAGCCTATTCTGAGATCTCCATCCAAGATGTTTCCTGCAGGTGGCAGAAGAGAATGACTCCTGACACCCCCTTCCCACCACATTTTCTCTATGACATGCTGCCTGCGCAAGAGTGGCTTTATAGTGAGAACTACCTTGCTTTAAGCAGTTCTTCATCCCCTTCTTTACCCTGTTGCTGCTTTTTCCTGAACCTTCCAGAAACGTAACTGTCTCACAAGTTGAGTTGTTAACCAAAGACAAATACGTTAGAAAGTGTTGGGGTGGGGGTCTGGGCGGATGAAGTGCAGTGGAGAAAAGCTTGGGATGATGGGCAGAGATAGCTTCCACTCATAAAGCTGTTAGGCTCAAAACAGTCCACGAGAGCAGACTTCTCAGTTGCCTGGACAGTTAGCGAAACATCGTTGGCGTTTGTGTAACTTTGAAGGCATCACTGCTGCCATGCAGTAGGAGGTGGCAGTGGCAGAAGCATACTGTCTCCAACGTGGTGCAGTGAAACGGAGCTAGGAATCATTCATGCACGAGCAGCACGGTATTTCAGGCAGCACTGCAAGAAGGCAAATGTAATTGTTTTGTGTATAAATGGGGGATCAGGGTAGGAATTAGAATGATTTAATTTTTTTTTTTTTACCCTTCAGACAGGTTTATTTGAGGCTGGTGCTGTGGAAAATTGTGTGCACTTAAAAGCATCGTTAATGTATGGGAGATGTTGCAGAAACGCCCACAAAATTATTCACGGACAGTAGAAGATGTTTTTGTATGAGAAAATTTGGATCTCAGTCTGTCCAAACCATGAAAAGGTGATTCAGTGACAGCCTGCAAGTACATTGGCGGGGGGAGAATATGAAGTCTAAAGCCTGTTTTAATCCGGTAATCTCGTATTGTATGCACACTGTGAGATGACACTCTATAAATAAAAACCTTGGCATTCAGCTGTAAAATCTCCTACATTTGCTACATTTTACCATCATTGTCTTGCATTCGTATGACTGTCACTGTGCACAAGTAGCTGGATGACAACCCACCACTCCAGTAGATGTTGTTCGGCAGGACTTAAGGGACCTTCAGAGGCAAACCACACAGGCTGGCAAGTGCATATTTTTGGTTTTTTACCTTCTCTTTAATGACGTACCACAAAAAAATGCAAGTTGAAATATATTTTTCTCCAAATATATATATTTATATAATATATAATCTTAGTTAACTCAAGTATATACATTGTATAATAAATAATGCTTATAAAAAGAGAAATTTTCTGAATATAAAATAAAAAAAAATCGACCTCTACAACTTTATACAAAACTTTGGATACAGCAGATTGATGGAAAAAGGTCTTCCATTCAGTGCTAGAATACCTGGCTACAGTAAAATAATTACAAGGCAATAAATGTTCTATTTAATATTAAATACCTTTTCTTGATTAAAAAAACAAACAAACAAACAAAAAAGGGATTTTGTTTAAAGTCAGGTACTTGGAGTCTTTCCAGACACGGAATTTAATATATACTTTTAAATAGAATGCGTATCAGAAGACGGCTTATTTCTGAATTGGGGAGGTTTCTTAGAGCTCTCCTGTGATCTTTAATTTTAGAAAGCAAATGCTTCTCAGGCCGCGTGAATCCAGGAGCTCTTCATCGTGCTCTACAGAGGAGGACTGAGAATTTTGCTCTGATTCTCTCCAGCCACAGGTTTGAGTGACAGGGCCATGTTCTGTGCTCCGCATGAGGGGTCTTTCACCCATCTTATTGCTCTTTGCAGTACCGTGTACTGCTCTTTCCCAAGGATGAAGAAGTGAGTGGAGTAGAAGACGCAGCTTTAATGGTTTAGACATATTTCTATGTTAAATCACTGATGCGTGAGAAGTGGTATTGGAACATGGTTATTTGTCCTCATCATTGGTGGAGGAGCCCACCAGGACAGAGATAATACTTATTTTTTTCAATTTCAATGGTCAATACGCCATGAAAACGTAAGCCCAAAATGAGAGGGCGTGTGGTCGAGGAGGGGGATGTGGGCTGGGGAGCGGGTGGAGGGACAAATGCTGATTCTTCTGTACTGAGGTGGGTCATGGGATGAGTGTGGCCACACCTGGGGCCCAAATCCCTGCTAAGGGTACGGAGCCTCTGTGCTTGATGTGGACCCCTCGTGAACGAATTGCTGATAACTGAAGAAATCCTACGGGAAGGAAAGGGTCTGCCTGGGATTGTGCTGTCAGATAAAGGTCTCCCTTCCCCGTCTGCCCTTGCCTCTCTTTTGCTGGATGAAGTGGTTTGAACAAATGAGGAGGGAAGGCTGATGGGAAGGCTTGGACAGAAATTTCTTCTTGCCATGGCTTCTGTCTCCCTGTCCATTACTGATGCTGGGAGCTGGTGTAGCAGCTCGCCTGTCCCCAGAGAGATGCTCGGAGCTCACTCTGGGATATCAAGTCACATTAGGGAACGCTTAGTAAATAGGTGCATCAACTGGGTGGATCTGCCCAGATCCTTAAAAATCCCCCTTGGGGAGGTGCACGGCAAGGAGGCTGCTGGAGCAGCGATGCATCCCCACGTAAGAGGTGGCGGCCTCACCACGTGTGATCTGCTCTTGTCCTGGGCCGAACGCCAGAGGAGCAGCTCTGGGCTCCGGTTTCCTGCCATCCTCCTCAGGGGGATTGAGGAGACGATTTGGGGCTGTGGGGAATAGAGAGGGCAAAGGGGAGGTGAAAGGAGAAACTGGCTGTAAGGCTCTGCTCGCGTGCTCAAACAGGTTTGTTCCTCCAACATCGTCTCCTCGGAGCAGGAAGGAAGGAGCCTGGCTGGTGTGGGGACCTGGCTCCTTTCCTCCTCCTCACCACATCTGCTGAGACCAGGATGGCCATGCCAGCAGGCGGGGGAGCCTGTATTTGCTCAGCTTTCACTGTGTAACATTCGTTTCCACCTGAAACCCCCGTATTGGCATCTACACGGGCCAGACCTCCGGAGGAGGACAGAGCTGGAAGCTCTGTGCATGCTGTGTTAGCAGCACGCTGGCTGGTGTGGCCGTGCCTCACTTGGACCTCTGCTGTCCCTGCTTCTCCCCAGACAGTCTGTCATGCCAAACAGCCTGAGAGAAGTCAGCAGATCAGTGATCTAACGTGTCTGCAGCGCCAGGTCTAGCCCTGGACCTTGTGTGGGTGAGATGCCGAGAGCCTTCTCTGCAGTGCTGGTGCTGGCTGTGTGAGGGTGTCTGCCCCGATCAAGGGCATTAGGACTTTTTTATGCCATCCTCTGAAGTGTGAGGCCACCATGTGGGGGCTGATCACAGGGTTGATGGACCCCTCGGCCCTGCTCTGGAGCAACCTCCCATCAGTTGGAGACCTACCTAGGTTTACTTGCAGGTGTGGACGTCGTAGACACGTATGCACTCCTGGCAGCTCACGTAGCAGCACCAGTGGAAGATGCAGTGACACTTCTCCTTCCGTTTCTCAGTCCTGGTGTTGTGGCCACGACCGCAGCACAGCAGGTCGCAGCCGTCGATCCCGTGGGAGGTGACGTTGCACGTTCTGTCCCTCGTCCCAAAGGAGCCCGTCTCTGGGTTGGGCTCGCAAAAATTGGGAGAGTTCTCATAGTAGACCAGATCCCGCTCCGTCGGCGGCTTGAAAAGAGCATACTTGGCCCTAAGAGTTTCTACCCATCCCCGAGATTCTCGGTGCTTTTCAACCACCATCTCAGAGGCGCTGTCATATTTATCCTTCAGGTAGTCACCAATCGCCCGGAAATCAGGCTGGGCCCACCAGCAGGTCTTGACCTCGCAGCTTCCCGAGAGACCGTGGCACTTGCACTTCAGGTGCATGTGATCCAGGATGGTCTGTCCAGGGGAGGGAAAACAAGGTGGTCAGCAGCTGCTTATGATGTCCAGCGTTTGCTTTCAATCACCCGCCTTTGCTACCTGGATTTAAATGTCTGATCTGAGCTTGGTCTGGAAAGTGTAGGCTAGTTGTAAATGCATGGGAGCTTTGGTGTGCGGCAGAAACATCTCTAGATGGAGACGTCGCACTAGAAAGGCATGACTGAGATGGGCAGCTGCTCTCATCATCTATCCAATCTAATCTAATCCAATCTAATCTAATCCCCAGGTCCGATCCTTTCAATGGGGTCATCCCTGTCGTGTGTGTGTGGACAATCAGAGCCCAGAGAATTTGAGGGTTGGCGGATGTCTTTGACACCTATGGATGTGGACTGATCCCCTTGTCCTAGCTTTGCTAACAACCTTCATTTTATGCCCCGAGTCTGACAGTTTGCTCTAGAAAGTAAAGGAAATTGTGAATCTAAGGTCATGACGCTCTCTCTTCCCCGGAAACCTCCTCTGTGTGGAGCAAAATAATCACTGATTTTTGTTAAAATTACTAGAGTTTGGGTTTTTTTGTACAGGAAGCTGTCCATCGTTAACACAAGGTAAAGATTCAAGCTTCTACCCTTCCACCTCTGCCTGCAGTGGTATGGAAAAAGGTATCTAGTGTTTGCTTCAAGCACTGTTTGACAGGTCTCGCTGTAACATGGTTAAAGCACGCTGGGTTTGCAAATGACCTAGAGCAGGCAGTGGCCCAGGTACCTGCTGACAGCAAGAACAGAATAGAATATTTCAGTTGGAAGGGACTGACAACCATCATCTAGTCCAACGAATCACTGGGTAGGACAATGTTACAATGGGGAGCACGCAGGAAGGAGTAGCTTGGGAGGAAAGTCCTCTTCACCGTTGACCTGGGGTCTTGGGCGGTTGAGTTGGGTTTCTACGTGCTGCCTTGGGAGATGTTTGTGCTGGAAGCAAGGCACGTTTTAGCTCTTCTTAACCCCCACCCATCTGTTTGGAGAGAGTGGAAATGCTGTCCCCTGGAAAATAATCCTAGAAAGCTCCTGCCTGGGCATTATTGTGGTCCCATTACATCAGGGGGAGCCAGACTGGGCCATCCATGCAGGCATGGATGACCAGCTCTGGACCTGCTGAGCACTCACCGTCCTGCCGGCCTCGTTGTTGTGTCTGTTCATGGCCGAGCGGGCGTCCGGCCGGTTCTCTCGGGCATCTGCGAATTCCCGGGACACCAGCACACCGAAGTCAGCATCCTCGCTGCATCCCCCCCATTTCCAGCCATCTCCTGGAGGTCCTTTGTGGTGGGAGTCACAGCCGCAGATCGTGGACGTGCCCTCGGCACAGGAGCGGGTTACAGCAAAGGCCACCCCTGCCGACGCGATGGCATGGACAAAGGCAGACTCTCGCGTGGCTGGGGAAAAAGAGAGCCCGTGGGATTATCAGTCAACGTAACACTTTGTTTTCCTTCCCAACCTCCTTCAGCATCATCTAAATCTCGTTAAAAAGCAAAAAGTTATGTTATTAATTTTTTAATTAATATTTTCTGAATCAGGTGCTGCTGGCATCGCCTTTTGAAGCACGCAGGCAGGAGTGGGTGAGAGAGAAGTGTGACTCCAGCTGTGTATCACAAGTGCAGCATTTCCCCCAAATACAGCAGGTGCAGGATTTGATCCAGCATGGGTGCTGATGGGTGCACAAAATGTCAGTAAGAGCTTGAGGGGCCTCAGAAGAGAGTTAGTGGAGTAATTCCTGGTCTGGAAACCCAGAGAGGGACTCCATGCCTGGAGTTAGTCCAAGGGGAGATGAAGAAGCTCACATACATGCTGAAATGGGGAAAGGTTTCAGATGATACAGGACAGATAATGGCAGAACAAAGCCGAAGAGCTAGTAATTACTCTTAAATGTATCTAGACTCAACAACATGTGACTTTACAACAATGGAATAAAACCAGCCGAGAGTGTGAAGATAACCTTGAAGTTGCTCATTAATTACTGAACAGTCCTGGAGGAAATCAAAGCAGATGAAACTCAAGCCTCTTCTTTGACTCTGTAACTATTGGCATGCTCCAGGTACAGGGTTGCAGTGAATGAATTTCAGCAGGCCCAAAGGAACCAAGCTGGAGAAAGTCCTGAAAGCATTGAATGCTGAAGAAAGGGTGAAATAAATTGCCCAGGATGTCTAGGTGGACTCGGAGCTGGGAACAGGAGCATGTGTGGATCCTCTGTGCTAAGAGAGAGAAAATGTTTCAGCAGAACAAAGGTACCTGGGCAGGAGGTGGGGACAAAACAGAAAATCCACCTGAAGATGAAGGTGCAATGGGTTTGCCGCACTGGCGCATCTCTGTCCATCACCTCTTCCACCTGTGACCATGGCGTGGTCAGGGTGACCAGGGTGGTTTTCAAGCCCTCCCCTTCCCTGGTCATTCTGTGGGGCCCTGACCTGGACTTTGGACAGCAGCAGCCAAAATGCACATGGGTATGGAGAAGCCACCAGAAGCCATAAAGATGTTTACGTTGGCTGGATGTTATAGCCAGCTGGGTCTGAGAAGGACAACAAGGCCAAGCAGGATGGGTGGGAAAGCAGACCAGAACTGCCTGCTCTGTGCCTGGGGCCTCCAAACTCACCTCAGGTGTCTGAAGCCAGGGAGCTGCTCTTCTTCATCATGAACAAAACCTCTCCAGCAGCCCTGCGTGCTGCAGCACCCTCTGCCTGAGCACTGTGGCCCTTCCGTGCTCAGTGATGGTTGCCATAAACACAAAGAACATCTTGTTCAGGGTGGGTTGTTCTGGATAGAAATGACCAAAGCCCAGTATTGTAGTGGCAGCGTGGGTGGCTGTTCTGGATAGCACACCCAAAGCAGCAGCTGGCGTGGAGCCATCAAGACAGATTCTCTTGGCCTGCTACTCCCAGAGGAAACTTCTGAGATATTAGAAGCACCAAATAACAATACCATGAGAAGACCTAGAAGACCTAGACCTAGCTTTAGAGGATGCAAAAGAAGATGACCTTGTCCACTTAATATGGTGGCATTTTCCTACCGTGAGGTCTGTGAATTTAATGTCATGTTTTTGGGAGTCTTGCACTCTGTCCGTTAGTGGACAATACACTGTCAAATTGAAAGGATATTTCCTGCATTGTATATCTTGGTATGTTAACTCTTCAGAAGGCCATTGAAGAAGTTGTGACATGCTCTGAACTGAGCTGGTCTTTTCTCTGGTGCTCTGACTGATGGCTCTTGACTGGTTTGAAAGCAGGACAATGGCTAATTTTGAATTTTCAACCCAGATTAAAACCCAACCAATTTATATCCTTTGTTCCTGTGCTCACACTGACTTTCATCTTCAAGTAGCTTTTAATGGCCTCTGTATTTACTGCGTGGTGCTTGCAGAGAGCAAAACTTCCATTTTACTGTGCTCAAAGAGCCATATTTGTTAAGTCTTTCCATAAAATGTTGTCCATTACACTCGTCAGCCCATCGGCTGCCCATCTCTGCATCTCTTCCTGGGTTTGATTCCTCTCTCCAGAAGGGTGAACAGAAGCAAATGCTCCCTTCCAGCTGGGGACTGACTGGGGCTGAAGGAGAGTAAGTCCCACCACAGCTCAGAACAGCTCAGAGATCTCTCCTGCATCAGGACACGGACTGGCAAGCCCCCCGTGTGTTTCCCTGCTCAGCACAGGGACAGAAACTTTGGTCCCTGGACTTGGAGTCTGGGTTCTTGCAGTAGTGACCCGGCTGTTCAGCTACCGAGCTCTGCTCAGGATGTTTTTAAAGCTTTCTTGCTAGTTTTTTTTTTTAATTTTTTTTTATAAAGCAGACAGCGTTGTGCTATTTCTACTCATTTTGAAATCAACTGGAGTTTGATTGTTGACTTCAATAAGGCTGTACTAAATACAGGCTTTCCCAAGCACAGTCAAAATAATATCTCAGTCTCAACTTTCTCCTTGGGGACATCTTTTGGTTCAGAGCCTCTCTGCTGTGCCACAGCCTGCGTAAGTACAGCACCCTGGTGAATGACACTGGAGTGCTTTCACCCTACGTGCCATCCTATAAAGATGGAGACTTGAGGTCTCTAAATTCAGAGTAGACGTTGGAGCCAATCCAACCTCACGCCTAATGTGCGACCAGGGAGGTGCTGAAGGCCGGTGGTCAGGGGCCGCGGTGTCTGGGGTACCGCTGCTGGTGGACGGTGCCCCGGGGTGCGCTGCAGGAGTTTCCAGCTGCCTCGTGGGTGTAGCTTGACCGAACGATCAGGACAGTCGTCAGTGGATGCGGAACGAAGCCAGAATTTGCTGCTGGCTCAGACCAACGATGACCTTGAAGACCATCCCCTCCGTCCAGAGCAGGAGCCATGAACCGTCTTCTCAGCTGCCCCATGCATCCCTCTCCTGCTCTTGCCTCGTGCCCTGGGGAGGTCTTTGCTGCACCAGGTCATGCTCCTTGGCCTGCAGTCTTCTCTGCGGAGGTGGGGTTTAGCTTCCAAAAATCAGGCATCTCAAACCAAGCTAATTTCACCCCGTGCAGGCAATCGAAAGAGGCAGCTCTGGGTATGTGCCGGCTGCGGAAACACACATCTCTCCTCTGCTGCAGCGTGGGGAACTCGGGTCTAGATGCCAAACATGATCCTAAACCAGGGCTGCTCAATCCTGTCTTTGCCGGTGGGACCACGCTGTGGTTTTCGCTTTCTTTTAATTCAAACTCTTCCCTCTTTCCCCTTCCCCCCTCCGATACGCCAGCAGAGATCCAGCCTCTACCTACTGAGGTTTTCCTTAAGATATCTTTCACCAACTGCTTATACTGGGTCCACTGGGGGCTACGGGCCACCGGTTGAAGATCACTACTCCAACCGGAGTGTTTCAGCCTGACAAAGGCTATTTGGGTGGCCTATGATCTAAAGCAGATCAGATTAGAGGAGCTAGCGAGCCCTT